ATGTCACTTCTTGCCTGGCAGTGGCGCAGGCCTTTAATCCCAGTACGGGAGGCTGAGGCAGGCAGATCTCTCTGCGTTCAAGGCCTGCTTGGTCTACATAGTAAATTCCAGGTCAGCTGGTGAGACACTGTCTCAAAAAGACCAAAAAAACACACGGGTGAGATGGGAGACAACTGTCAAAAAAAAAGAAAAAAAAAAAAAAAAAAAAAAATCACTTCTTTTGGGGTGTCCTTTTCCTAATCGATTCTATTGCTAAATTTCCCACAGAACTTTTTTCTTACTGTTTGACTTCTCACATTTCATATTGGTTTTTCAACTGTCAGTATCCCTGATTAAATGCTTACATAGGTAATGAAATCAATACATTTTTATGACAAACCAAAAGGATAACAGCAAATCCCCACAGCAAAGTTTTTTTATTTCTTTTTATTAACTTTAAATAATATCCTAGATAAAACGACAAAATGTCCAGTTAACGTGGGTTGACCCAGTGTTGCCTATTACCTTGTTTGCTCTACTCCCCATTCTCCTACAGTACTAATACAAAATAAAAGATGGATTAAGTTGGTCTTCTTACCCATTTCCAATAAAAAGTGGAGATGTACATGAAAAAGATGGCCAAAATTATCTCTTACAGAAGGCGGCGCTCCAATTACTGACACACCTGTATATTTTACTGATGGTATTAACTAATCAAAGCTGAGCCACCTATGCAGGGACTAAAATAAAAACCTTACACACTTCCTATAAATCTCACAACAAAATGAATTGTGATCAAATCTCTTAATCTTATGACAAATTCACAATATGTTACTACATCTCTGCCATTATTAAAACTGCCACCGTTCTCTTGGTGCACTTTCATACATGTAGGCAATACTCATACACATAAAATAAAAATATTTTAAAAATCATTTCTAAACTTGTCTTACAGGCACAAACGTTAGACAACAGAGACACCTGATATGTTATCTTGTGTCCCTCCTGCGCTGCAGTTCACACCCCTTCCTTTCCAGGAGAAACAAACCCATGGAGTCGCCACCCTAATAAAATTTGACAAATAAATATAACTCATGTTTCCACTTTCAAATAGCTCTCATATGTTCATGTTACTGTTGATACAGTCCCTGGATTTATGTGGGGCACTACACAAGCAGGGAAAAAAACTACTTGTTATTACTCATGTTACTTTTGCCATTCTAGGACTTCCTCACAATTTAAAACAATGCTCCTGCTTATGCTAGCACTGGAAATGCTCACTTCCTGGCTGATGGGCATGTTTCCCACAGCACTGGAATTCCAGACCCCTCAAGCATAGGCTACAGCAGAATACAAAAAGTGTACTCTCAAAATTTATCTAACATAAAAGGGAATTTATGCTACCCCTAAAAAACAACTATGACTTTATGCCACTAATTTAAAAACTTTGGATGAGCAAGGGCACTCTGAGGCCTAATGACATTGGGCTGAGGTCACCCCCGCTCTCACATCGCAACCTATTTGGTGGAAGGATCTAGTCTCTAACAATTGAAAGCCAAGTCATGTTAAAGTACGGGGCTGGGATTATGCCTATGTTTCCATAGGTCACAGTGAGGACTTCTGGGTGCTGGCACAAAAATGAAAGTCACACAGCATCAAAGCTTTAACCATGAAGAACCCCTGGGGGCTCTTTCAAGAAAAAATAGACATTATCACAATCAAGGATGAATCACTGACTCAAGCCACAGTTCCTACATATGGCTGGCTAAAGAAACTCACTCAAACTAATGAATGCCAAATTAAAAATACATAACTGTTAAAAAGGGAACTTCTAAGGATACTATCCATCCTGGCGCTGGCTGGAATATGAGCCTTTCTATGGATTCCTCTAGACTCAAGGACATTCAGAATTTCTGGGTTCAATCAACAACAGATACCATGAACAAGAGAGGATGTTCTGTGTACAGGAGGGAAACTCAAGTGTATCAACTGTTAGCTAATTATCTCATGGCCTTATCTGTAAACTGAGTATGTCTGTTATTGAAAATAATGCAACTAAGCAAGATTATATTGTACCTAATACAAATATTGCCGGTCTGCTTTGCTATTCACTAGCAAGGTTTGTGTATTGGTTGTACTGCCTTTACCATCTTTAAACAGTCTTACTGATAGCATCTCCTTGCCTGCTGGGAAGAAGCTCCTCATGGAATGGGTCTTTGTGTAGAATGGCACTGTTTTTCAAGCTTTCCATGTCAACGTCTCTGGATGAAGAGATCTTCCCCTTGTCACCACGCTTTACTCCCACTCACCAGGCTCCTCAGCGCCTCCCCACCCCACTGACTATGATAATCAATTCTCTCCCAAGCCCCGACCAAGCAACCCGACTATAGTGGTTTTCCTTCTGCACATTAATGAACCTGCCATGAGTATGCTTTTACTTTATTCATTACCCCTTGCTCACTACAATGTTTTTAAACTATGTATCTCCTATTACTAATAGATTTGAAACACATACTGCTAGAAATCAGTTCACGAAAGGGGGAAATGTAGCTGCTTCTTTTGCCCCTTGGGGACTAGAGCACTTGGTGCACATAGGGTTAACAAACTTCCTTGTACTTAGCCATGGTCTGGCTCCTTTCCCAGAAGGTTGGACGTAGGGCTGCACTACAACTCCTTTGTGCAAGTTGCTTCTAAGCACAAACTAAGGGAGTTTGTCCTTCATTTTCAGCCTTGAAGTAAGTTTATCCATCTCCTAACCAATGCAATAACGAAATTCCTGTTTTGCACTGCTTAAGCATTAATCATGTGAGCTTTGTATGAATTTTATAAACTGAACTTCCTAATAAAAAGCCTGCCAAGAGAGCTGGAGAGATGGCTCAGCAGTTAAGAGCACTGACTGCTCTTGCAGAGGACCCAGGTTTGATTCCCAGCACCCACATGGCAGCTAACACCCACTGTAACTCCAGTTCCAGAGGAACTGACGCCTTCTTCTGACCTCCTCAGGCACTGCACAACACTGGTGCACTTACACACATGCAGGCAAAACATTCATATGCACTTTTTTTTGGTCTTTTTGAGACAGGGTCTCCCTGCTCCCTGTAGCTCCGGCTGTTCTGGAACTCACTATGTAGACCAGGCTGGCCTTGAACTCAGAGATCCACCTGCCTCTACCTCCTGAGTGCTGTGATTAAAGGTGTGCACCACCACGCCCGGCTTAAACTTTTTTTTGGGGGGGGGGTCTTTTTGAGACAGGGTCTCCTTTGTAGCCCCAGCTGTCCTGGAACTATGTAAACCAGGCTGGCCTCAAACTCACAGAGATCTGCCTGCCTCTGCCTCCCAAGTGCTGGGATTAAAGGCATGCGCCACCACACCCGGCTCTTAAACTTTTTAAAAGCCTGCCAAGACACACTCTTGAGGGGCACAATCGTGGCAAAGTTCTAGTGAGGACTGCATACAATGCCAAATGAGTATGGTCTTAGTTATCCAGTCAAAGGTGGACCAAATCCCTACTTTGACAAGTGAAGAGCCTACCTACCCCACAAGGGAACACTAGAAGTTGTCACCTAACAGCTGAGTTACAAGGTGCCCTAGGACCCAGAGAATCTGTAATGTCAGATTTGGGTCTTCATGAGATGGAGCCTGTGGAACCAAGTCCTTATTGAGAAGGGACTACTACACCCCTGACACCTGGTACACTGATGGTACTAGCAGAGTTCTAGAGGCCACATGGACAGTAACCATACTCCAGCTATTCATTGATATTATCTGGACACAGAGTTTGGTCAAGGAAGCCAGGGAGTTCAATTAAGAGTTGTATGGCTAATAACCATGAATCCCCCTTTCCCCTTCATATCTATTACAATTGGGTGGAATACAGGGGGTTTACTCTGTGGATACTCACATGACACCTACAGGGTTTGGAGGTAGAATACTGGTCCTTATGAGACTACCCCATGTAGGAAGACTTCTGATGTGGCGTGTAGGAAAAGTACAATAGTTTACCATGTGGCAGATCATAAACTTTTGCTGAGCCCAGAGAATTGAAGCTGAGACATAAGTGTGTTTGGGGACTGCAAAGGTCACTTGTACACAGTGTATGGATGCACCAACTTTGGGCACACATGAAACAGGAACAAAACAAAGGTAAATGCCAATGAGGCCTCTCTCCAGAAGAGATGTGGAATGCCTGCTGACAATACCTGGCATCTGCCCAGAATTCCCCAAGCAACAGTGACCAGCAATGATGACTGGTCAGATCAGAAGGGGAGAAACACCCAAAGACATGACGAGGTGATTACATAAGCCCCTTCCGCTGTCTGAAGGCTGTGCTTATGCCCTTACCACTGCTGACATGGCTGTATGTCTCCTGTAGGCTTACTCCTGAGGCTAACCAAAAGGCATTGATAAGGTCTTGACACATCTATGTGATATATGGCCAGTCCTATACTCTGGAAAGCAACCAAGGGTCACATTTTACAGGCACCCAAGTTCAAACTTGGGGTACCCAGATGGACACTGAATGAGGGTTACATAAGCCACAACGCCCCTAGGCAAAAGGGGTTACACAAAGAGATATAATGGTCTATTAAAGTATAAATTGTATGTAGGGACAGATACCTCATCCCGTAAGAGACTAAATCTCTGATGAGCATACAGGGTCACTGAGGAGAAATGAAAAAAAAAAAAAATGGCACGCTTTTAATAATGTCTTGGTCTGAGACAAAGGCTTAACCACCACCCCCCATCACCCCCAGCCATCAGGGGCCCATTTCCAATGGACCAGTCAAGACCAGTATATACAAGACTAAGACCAACCTACGTGAAAAAGTGGCCAACAAATTCTCCACACTATACAAAGTTTTTCAATGTAACCACATTACTTTTTTTTTTTTTTCTTTTTTGAGACATGGTCTCTCTGTAGCCCCAGCTGACCTGGTACTATATAGACCAGGCTGGCCTTGAACTCAGAGATTCACTATCTCTCAAGTGCTGGGATTAAAGGTGTGCATCACCACACCCGGCCACATTACTTCTTAAAGAAAACAATGCTAATATATTTTCAATTTTTTTTTCGGAGCTGAGAACCAAACCCAGGGCCACTGAGCTAAATCCCCAACCCCAAAATTTTTTTAAGAGGCCAAGTACTTTCACCATTGACTCTGGGCTCTGGGTCACCCTGACATGGTTCTGTAAGATGCTTTAGTGGCAGCAATATGGTTCATTTAGCACCTGCTAGTCACAGTAATACACGGGCAATCTCTTACCCAAGTCCTGGGAAAGACTGTATGGTATCATACAGGAGAAAAGCCACTAGTATCCACCATCCTAACACAGGATTTAAAAAAAAGTAGCCTACATCCTCTCAGAATGCAAAGATCTTCCCACAGTGGTTAATACTTCTAGGAAATAACCCTAGCAGTATTTTTGCCTGTGTGAGGGACCATAGATGTAAAAATAGAGAAAAATGCTCTAGCAGAGCACACTGTACATGCACTCAACCAGACTCATAAGGCTATGGCATTTCTGGTGGATGAAAATCGTGTTACAAAATAGAAAGGCCTTACATTTGCTGACAGCTGCTCAAGAAGGAACTTGTGCTGGGTTACACATCAAGTGCTATGAATATATTCCAGAAAATGAAAACAAATGTAACAGCTGCCTGATGAGTAAATAATGAGGTACAAACAATCTACCAATTAATTCAAGACAGAACAGTGATGAGACAGTACCTCTACTACCCTAAAGTGGAACATCCTAAGCTTAGGAGGTATAGCCTGTTTATTGAGAAGTTGTTCCCTGTATTGTTGCTATGGACTATGGGTCCAATGAGTGACCCATTCCAATAAACACCTCTTGAGTAAAAGAGGCGGAATGAAGGAAATCAAGGCTGTGTGGGCCTGTTGACATCCAAACAACATGGCCTTGATATGGATATACAACATGTCCAAAATGGCTAACACTAGACATCCACAGCACAATGATTTGGAACAAAGTGTCTGACACCTCAAAAAATTACAATATTGATGTAATGTGCTTTATCAACAATTTTGACAAGAAGCTACCTTCATATGTTTTCCTATAAGACATTCCTAGGACCAAGGATATGTGTTCTCACACTGGCTACCTGCCAAGTGGCTTCTGAAACTTGTCCAGAGAAAATCAAACATGTTACATATGCCAGCAGCTCCACAAATTTTCTTTAATCTCCTGTCTCCTCTCAACCCTCTATCCCTGGCCCCCCAAACCCAGACTCTAGTTATCTGTTATCAATTGAGATCTGACTTACAAGAGAAAGATTTCTTATATTCTGCACATTGATAGGACTTTTCAACTATATGTGAACTCTGATGTGCAACAAAACATGACAAAGTGTTTTCCTTTTTAAACCACATTCTATACATTCAAAGGACTTCACACTTTTATGAGCTCTCTGATGTTGAGTGAAGTGGGCCTGGTAGTAGTAGACTTTTCAGCACTGTTTATATTTATAGGGAGTTTCAACTGCAAGTTTTCTCATGAACTGTGAATGCAGACTTGCAGGATTTTCACTGCTTTTGAGAACCAAAGGTCTTCTCACCAGTGTGAGTTCTCATGTGTCTCGCGTATACTGAGAAGAAATTAAATGTAGGATTTCCTGCACTGCTTACAATTGTGAGAATTCTCATGTTTGAGTTCCCTGATGTTGAGTTCTTAGAGCAGAAACATTTCCAACATTCTGTTCATTCATACAGCTTCTAACTCTATGGGTTACCTGGTGCTCACTGAATTTATACTTGGAAAGAAAACTTTATCATATTCTGTTATATTGTGGTATGGCTTCTGTGGGAAAGCAGACATTTTGTAGAAGGCGCCTCCAAACTGTTGAAAATCATGGAGTTTTTCACCTGAATGTCCACACTGTTGACATTCTTAGGGTTTGTCACCTGTATGAAGTCTTTGATGCAGTGAGCTCAGACTTGTTGAGCTCTATGTATTCTGTATATTCATATGGTTTCTGACTTTAATGATGTTTGGTGCATCAGGAGGTGCTAACTGCAGAAGGCCTTCCCGGACTCTGCTTTGACAGTTATCTCACTTGTATTAGTTTGTTGATTCACCCTGAGAGCAGACATTTTGCAGAAGAATTTTCCACAGTTCACATTCATACGGCTTCTCATCTGAATGAATTCTCAGATGTGCAGTGAGATCAGAGTTGCTGGGGAAGGTTTGACCAGACTGTTTACATTCATAGGGCTTCTCCCCTGTATGAGTCCTTTGATGTATAGTGAGATCTGACTTGCGACCGAAGGCTTTTCCACACTCTGTGCATTGATAGGGCTTCTCCCCTGTGTGGGTTCTATGATGCAATGTGAGAGCAGACATTTGGCAGAAAGCTCTTCCACACAGTTTACATTTATAGGGTTTCTCACCTGTATGAGTTCTTTGATGCACAGTAAGGTGACACTTCCTAGAGAATGTTTTTCCACACTGTTTACATTCATAAGGTCTCTCCCCTGTATGTGTTCTTTGATGCTTGCTGAGAGTAGACATTTGGCAGAAGGCTTTTCCACACAGTTTACATTCATAGGGTTTCTCACCTGTGTGTGTTCTCTGATGCACAGAGAGTGGAGACTTGCTAGAGAAGGCTTTTCCACACTCTTTACATTCATAGGGCTTCTCCCCTGTATGAGTTCTTTGATGCACAGTGAGGTCAGACTTGCGGCAGAAAGCTTTCCCACACTGCTTACATTCATAGGGCTTCTCCCCTGTATGAGTTCTTTGATGCATAGTAAGCTCGGACTTGCAGCTGAAGGTTTTCCCACACTCTTGACATTCATAGGGTTTCTCCCCTATATGAATTCTATGATGCATAGCAAGCTCAAACATACTACAAAAGGCTTTCCCACATTTTGTACATAGATAGGGCTTCTCCCATGTGTGAGCTCTCTGAAACATATTAAGGTTTAACTTGAAGTTGAAAGCATTCCCACATTCTGAACATTGATAGGAGTTCTCCACTACATTACTTCCCTGATGCACAGTGAGCTCCAACATGCTGGAGATGGCCTTTGCACATTGTTTACATTCATAGGCCTGCTCACTTGCATGACTCCTTTGATGCACAGCAAGCCTAAAATTGCTGGAGAAGGCTTCTCCACACTGTTTACACTTATAGGGCTTCTCCCCTGTATGAGTTCTTTGGTGCACCTTGAGAGCATACATTTGGCGGAAGGCTTTTCCACACAGTTTGCATTCGTGGGGCTTCTCTCCTGTATGAGTTCTTTTATGCACAGAGAGTGGAGACTTGCTAGAGAAAGTTTTTCCACACTCTTTACATACATAGGGCTTCTCCCCTGTATGAGTTCTTTGATGCACAGTGAGGTCAGACTTACGGCAGAAGGCTTTTCCACATTCTGTACATTGATAGGGCTTTTCCCCTGTATGAGTTCTTTGATGCACCCTGAGAGCAGACACTTGGTAGAAGGCTTTTCCACATTGTTTACAACTGTAGGGCTTCTCCCCTCTATGAGATCTTTGATGCACATAGAGGTAAGACTTGCTGCAGAAGGCTTTCCCACACTCTTCACACTGATAGGGCTTCTCCCCTGTGTGAGTTCTCTGATGCACAGTGAGGTCATACTTGCTGCAGAAGGCTTTCCCACATTGTGGACATTTATAGGGCTTCTCCACTGTATGAGTTCGCTGATGCATAGTCAGCTCGGGCTTGCTATGGAAAAATGCTTTGCACTGTTTACACTGATAGGGCATCACACCTTTTTGAATTATATGGTGTTGAATTAAGTTTGACTTGCAGGAGAGAGCTTTTTTGCATTCTGTACATTGATATGGCTTCCCACCTGTAGGAACACCTGTAGGTGTTTTCTGATGTTCGCCAATATTTGACTGACTGTAGAAAAGTTTCCCACATTTCATACATTCTTGGGTATTTTCATCTGTACAAGTAGTCTGATTTTGAGAGAGTTGTGAATCATAGTAGAAAAGGTCCCCACCTGTATATTCATATGGCTTCACACCTGTATGACTTGCCTGATGTACAATGGGTTGTGACTTGAAGGAGAAAGTATTCCAGCATTCTTTACGTTCATACGATATCTCCCTATCGTATGTGTGAGACATCTGATTCCTGCTCTGCTGTGACTTCTGGTAAAATGTCTTCGTACATTCCATACCTTCAAACGACTGTCTCTGTTGGATATTCTGTTGCACTTTTAGGTCTGCCTGTAGATAAAGTAATTGGTTATATTTCTTTTTTAAGTTATTTTATTTATTATTATATGGGTATGAGTGTACTGTCTGCATGCATGTCAGTGCACCTGTGTTGTGCAATCCCCACAGAGATCAGAAAAGGGTGTCATATCCCCTGGAAAGAGTTACAGACTGTTGTTAGCCTTCACGTGGATGCTGGGAATCAAACCCTGGTCCACTGCAAGAGCAGCCAGTGCTCTTAACCACTGAACCATCTCTCCAATCCCTTGGTTATATTTCTATAGTTATGAGGCTTTTCTTTTTTTTTTTTTTTTTTTTGTTTTTTTGAAACAGGGTCTCCTTATAGCCCCAGCTGGTCTGGAACTCACTATGTAGACCAGGATAGCCTCAAACTCACTAAGGTATGCCTGCCTCTGCCCCTCCAAGTGCTAGAATTAAAGGTGTGTGCCAGCATACCTAGCCATGAGGCTTTTCTTGATATGTACTTTCTAGTATTATTTAGGTATGATTTCCTCAATCACTCCACATCTCACTGAACCCCAACCTTGCCAATGTGGATAGAATGGCTCATCAGGGATCCTGATCTACCTTTTAACTACTGGAAAACAGGTACATGCTAAAATGGCTAGTGTTATACAGGGGTGCTAAGGATCCAAACTCATGTCTTCATGCCTGCATATCAGGCATGTTGCTGACTAACCCATCTCCTCAATCCTCAGTTAAGTTCTTGAGAAAAACATTCCAGAAGTGTCTACATCCTATGCTCGGATTTGAAACATGTTAACAGCTTTTTAAACGTTTTACTTACTTCACCAATCTCTTCATTGGATGTCTTGTCACTGGTGATTCCAAACTGCCACCAATGTCTCTTGTCATTTTTCCAGATAGCCTCTGTCATGGGTGTCACCTTATGAACATCTGAAATGACATTATAAATATTACTTTTTATAATCACATTTAAATATTTTTTTCCAATACAAATCTAAAAGTGTGCCTCCTAATCCTCAATGTAAGTTGTAAAATAATGTTGGCCTATGTTAAGTGCATACACCTCAGACTGCCATGACTACATATAACAAATTATACTAGGCGGGAGTGGTGGTACACACCTTCAGTCCCAGCACTCAGGAGGCAGAGGCAGGTAGATTTCTGTGAGATCAAGGCCACCTGGTCTACGTAGTGAGTGCCAGGGCAGCTGGGGTTACAGGGAGACCCTGTCTCAAAAAATGAAAATAAAAATTAACAAATACACTACTATATAAAATGTAGAGCTATGGCATGTCTGTTTATGGCCTTATTTCACTCTGTTAAACAAGTGGAGGTAAAGTCTCTCTCCTATATTTGAGCAGTAGGTTTCTACATGGTAATTTTTACCTGCTACCTTCCTCCTGTTCCACTTCTCTAACTATACATAAAATATCACTCTATACCACACCAGTTCCACATGTGAAATAGGAACATTTTCATCAGTTACATTTAGCATGCCAGAATCATTAATCTCTCTCTCCTAACAGAATAGGGAAGGGTTCTTGTACATTTCCATTTGTGTACCTCACCATGAGTTTCCCATACTCTTTAATCCATCTTATGTTTTACACATATTATTCACTACTTGGAACTTTAAGCTTTGAACATTCTTATTTATTTTTAATGTGCATGAGTGTTTTGCCTGCATGTATGTAAGTATACCCATGTCAATCAATGTCCATGGAGGCCAGGGAGTCAGATCCCCTGGAACTGGAGTTAAGAACAGCTGTTAGCTGCCATGTGGGGTGGTGGAAATCAAATCCAGGTCTTCTGGAAAAGAAACTCTTAACTGCAGAGACATCTCTCAAGCCCCAACTTTGAACATTCTTGACTTTGACTTTAAATCTATATTAAGCACATGAGACAAAACATGGTAGTTCTCATTTTGATTGTTTCTCTGACCATGAGAAGATGCACTTCTGTTCATATTTCTACAAACACCATAATCTGATTCTTCTTTAGGGCTTAATAATACAATATTTCTAAATAAACCTCATGTTCATTGATGAATCCAATGATGGATATGAAGCATGAGACCATATTTGGGTGATCGTAAATGATGCTTCGTTAAACATGGTCCTGTAGGTATCCTTACGTTAATTCCATTATGAGTATGGCCAGGGGCAGAACAGCTTCATCATGTAGTAGATAATTTTTCATTTCTAAAAAACTCCAAAGTGGCTGGAAAATTCAACATCATCACCAATGCAGAGTATGTAAGCATTTCTTACTCACATATTCTGAATATTACTACCATGTTGAATGTGTAGCTATTAAAGAAGTTTTTTTCTCTGGCCCAAAGGATACCTTTTCATTCTGGTTCCTTCTTGCACTTTTACATTTACAGGTTTTGTGGATGTGTTTTCTGTGTATGAATGTTTTGCCTGCATCTATTTAAATGCACCTGTGCACACAATGTCCATAGAGGCTAAAAGAGGGCATCAGATCCCCTGGAACTGGAGTGCCCACCATGTAAAAGCTAGGAACTAATACCAGATCCTCTGGAAGAGCAACAAGTGCTCTTAACCACTGGGCAATCTCTCCAGCCCCACAGTTAAGAGTTTAAAAGAAAAAACGATAAATATCTGTAAAGTATTTTTCTGGATTAACTGGCATAGGAGGGTCTAGAACAGTGAGGAAATTTCCATTCATAGGCAGGTGGGCCTGAGCTGTATGCAAAAGATAGCATACAGCTGACTTGTTCAGGGAGCCTAAGTGGCAATCAGCCTCTGTGGTCTCTGCTTCAGGTACTACATTGAGTTCCTGCCCCTGATTTCCCTTATTGATAGATTGTGACCTGGGTGTTACAAGGTGAAATAAACCTTTCCTCCTGAAGGTGGTTTTGTTCAGTTTTGTCACAGCAAAAAAAAGCAAACTAGAACACAACCCATGGGTATATGTCAATGTTTCTGAGAGAACCTTGGTATTTTTATTAATAAAGGTCTGTAGCAGGCACGCAGATATTTCCAGAAATTTTTTTTTATCTTTTTGAGACAGGGTCTCCCTGTAGCTCCAGCTGACCTAGAACTCACTATGCAGACCAGGCTGGCCTCGAACTCACAGAGATCCACCTGCCTCTGCCTCCCAAGTTCTGGGATTAAAGGTGTGCGCCACCACACCCGGCCCAGAATTACTTTTTAAATTATTATCAATTTTTATGTGTTATGAGTGTTTTGACTGTATATAGATAAGTGCACATGGGTACAATGCTCACAGAAGCCAGAAAAGGGCACCAGATCCCTAGAAATGGAGTTTCTGATAGTTGTGAGCTACCATGTGGATGCCAGGAACCAAACCTAGATCCTCTACGAGAGCAGCCATCTTTCTAGTGGCGCCATCTTTCTAGTCCCCAGAATAAGCTTTTATACCATTTCTCTGACAAGTTGGTGTTGTTTTGATTGCATGACTTTTTCTTGTTTACCCATTTCTGAAGAGTATGTTCAAATTTCCAGGGGATTGCATGAAATATGTACATGGCTTTCCTGAATAAGATACTTGGCTATATTAATTGCATTAATCCATAAACTTGTCTGGTTTTTAACTATTCTGTCTTCAATTGTTTTGTTTTTTGGTCTTTTTTTTTTTTTTGAGACAGGGTCTCCTTGTAGCCCCAACTGGCCTGGAGCTCCCTGTGTAGACCAGGCTGGCCTCAAACTCACAGATATCCACCTGCCTCTACCTCCCAAGTACTGAGATTAAAGGCGTGCGCCTGGCATCTTCAATTATTTTATTAGAGTTTTTTGTTTTCTATTTTGTTCTTTGTTGGTTTGGTTTGGGAGGGAGGGGGTCTTTGGTTTTTGTCTGCCTGTTTTTTGAGACAGGGTCTCACTTTGTAGCCCTAGCTGGTCTGGAACTCACTATATACTAGGCTAGCCTCAAACTCAGAAATATGCCTGCCTCTGCCTCCAGAGTGGTGGGATTTAAAGGCATGCCAACACCATACCTAGCATGTATAGTTTTAACTATAGAATGCTTTCACCTAATTAGAAATTTTCCTAAGTGGCTTAGTTTGAGGGGGGGGAGGTTGTTCTTTTTTTTTAATTATTTTTAATTATGTATATATGTGTGTGTCAGTGTAGGGGTATGTGTGCATGAGTGCAGGTACCTATAGTGGCCAAAGGCTTCATATCCTCCTGAAGCTGGTGTTTCAAGTGGTTGTGAGCCACCCAGTGTGGCTGGGAACTGAACTCAAATCCTCAGCAAGAGCAGTACACACTCCTAACCCCTGAGCCATCTCTCCAGCCCCTTCTTTTTTCTTTTTTAAGGCTATTTGAAATGATACTGATTTCCTGATTTTCTCCTAACCATTTCCAGTATTAATATATAGAAAAGATGTTTGGAACTAAGGAAGAAGCTCAGTCAATAAAGTCCCTGTTACTCAGAAAGCTTTGATTTCAATCTGAAGTACTACATAAAACCAGGTACAGTGGTTCAAGTCTTTAATACTAGCACTGAGAAAGTGGAGGCAGGAGCATGAATATTTCAACACTATCGTCAGCTACAGTGACTTTGAAGCTATCCTGGACTACATGAGACACTGTCTTTTTTTTCTTTTTTTTTTTTTTTTTTTTTTTTTTGTCTTTTTGAGACAGGGTCTCCCTGTAGTCCCAGCTGACCTGAACTCATTATGTAGACCAGGTTGGCCTTGAACTCACAAAGATCCGCCTGCCTCTGCCTCCCAAGTGCTGGGATTAAAGGCGGGCGTGCTTTTTTTGGTCTTTTTGAGACAGGATCTCCCTGTAGCCCCAGCTGTCCTGGAACTCACTATGAAGACCAGGCTGGCCTTAAACTCAAAGAGATCCACCTGCCTCTGCCTCTGCCTCCCCAGTGCTGGGATTAAAGACACTGTCTTAAAGAAAAAAAAAAAAAGCCGGATGTGGCAGCGCACACCTTTAGTCCCAGCACTCAGGAGACAGAGGCAGGTGGATCGTTGTGAGTTGCAGTATTGTTGAAAGCACATAGAATTCCAGTGGCCTGCTGCCAGTAAACTTACATTCATGGCTACAGGAAATATACCTGTTTCTATTTTAGGTTTGGGAAGGTGCAAGATGGTGTCAAATTCAGTAGTCCACTTTAACCTTAACTGTCTGATCTTCCTGCCTCTACCTCCTGAATGGTTGGATTTCAAGTGTGCAGTACTTATACCTGGTTTTATGTTATGCTGAGGATCAAACCCAGGGCTTTGTGCTCAGTTACTCTGTCAACAGAACTGCATCCTAAACCTAACCTCTGGTTCTTTCCAGTGTTCAGTTGTGTAGTGATTTTGTATGACACACTAGTTTTGGAGATTGGTTGTCTGTTTTTTAGTCTTTTTCAGACAGGGTCTCCCTGTAGCCCTAGCTGGCCTGGAACTCACTGTGTAGACCAGGTTGGCCTCAAACTCAAAGAGATCTGTCTGGCTCTGCCTCCTGAATGCTGGGACTAAAAGCGTACACCACCACACCTGGCAAAATTGGTCGTCTTTATCCACAAATCATGCAGAACAGTTTCCACACACCCTCTACTCCTTAGAAATGAAAACGGAATAGTGGAAAGCCTAGGAGGCTGTGGACACACTGAGGGTTTTGGTGTGGGTGATAGCCACTAGGCAGCCATGGAGACCAATGGGGTCAGATGTGAAAACACTGAGAAAATTAAGAGTTAGGGAGCTTGAACTATGGAGGCCTTGGTGGTTGCACCTTCTTTGATGAGATGAGCATCACTGCTTGTGGATCAGTCAGAGGATGGGAAGACTGAATGCTGAATGAGCAAATTCCTTCCCTTCAGACCTTTTATCTCTATGTGGTTAGCTGCACAATGGACTGACATCTCTGAGTTCCCATCTAATTAGTCTGTGGATCTTCATAGTCTGCTCTCTTTTTTTTGGGAGGGGGTCTTTTTGAGATAGGGTCTCCCTGTAGCCCCAGCTGGTCTGGAATTCACTATGTAGACCAGGCTGGCCTACCACTCAAAGAGATCTGCCTGCCTATGCTTCCCGAGTGCTGGGATTAAAGGCATGTACCACCACTCCATGCTCACAGTGTGCTCTTTAACACACTGTTGTTTACTACTGTTGGTTTCTGAAAACTCTGAAAGCCACAGGCCAGAGTCCTATTTCCTGTTGGTCTGCCACAACCTGACACTCACAGCACATCCTTTAGATTGGACTTTGCATTCCTTTTGTGAAAAAAATTTGTGCCTATTGGAGCCAGTAGCCCACAAATTACAGAGCAGATATTCAGTACTGGATCCTTGTATACCAACATGTAAGTTGTAAATTTAATGGTACCCATTGCTGACAACATTACCTTGATGTGCCAACAGTCAACCAACATAAGGCACAAACTATCAAGGTGAGGACAGAGGAATTATATCAGACTGCAGCTACAACCCTATAACCCTCAAATCCTGTTGATAATTTTCAGTATTAGAGGATAGATAAAATGCTTCTCCAATTCATGGCTTTCTTTCTTTATTTCTTTCCTCTTGGTATTTACTCTTCCTCTTTCACATTCCTTTCTTTTTTGCTTAGCTTTTATTTTCCTTAAAATACGTGTTTTCTGTTGTGTGTGTGTTTGTATGCGTGCATATGTTAGGGAGTGACTTGTTAATCCTGTGAATGTGTGGAAGCCATAGGACAACTTTATGGAGTTGGTTCTCGCCTACCTTTTTTAAAAAAATTTTATTATTATTATTATTATTAATTATTTTTTGGTCTTTTTGAGACAGGGTCTCCCTGTAGCTCCAGCTGTCC